AGTACCACATTGTCTTGACTACCATGGGTTTCAAGTAAGTTTTAAAATCAAGAAGTTTGAGTCTTCTAGCATTGCTCTTCTTTATCAAGATTGTTTCAGTCATTCTGGGTCCTATGCATTTCCATATAAGTTTTAATATGTCCATCAATTTCTGCAGAATGATAGGGATTGTGTTGAATCTGCAGCAATCAGTTTGAGTAGTATTGCCACTTGATGATATTAAGTCTTCCAATCCATCAATATGGGGTGTCTTTCCATTTGTTTAGATCTTTCATTGCTTTCAACAAGTTTTATAGTTCAAGACTTGAACTTAATAAATTTCATTATAACATCTTTATTCCTATAAATGCAATTGTTTTCTTAATTTCATTTTTAGATTGTTCATTGCTGATGAACATAAGAAATTATTTTTTGTATATTGATCTTGTACCCTGAAACCTTGCTCAATTCATTTATTAATCCTAATAGTTTTTTAATGAATTCCTTTGAATTTTTTATATACAAGACCATGTCCTCTATAAATAGAAGTGGTTTTACTTCTTTCTCTCCCATATGGATGGCTTTTACTTCTTTTTCTTGCCTAACTGCCCTGGCTAGAACTTCCAGACAATGTTGAATAGAATTAACGAGGGTGGACATCCATGTCTTTTTCCTAATCTTAGGGAGAAAGCATTCAGTCTTTCACCATTAACTATGATCTTAGTTGTGGGTTTTTAGTAAATGCCTTTTATCAGATTTATCAGATTAAGGAAGTCCCCACATATTCCCTTTTATTCCTTTTATCATAAAAAAAAAGTGTTGGGTTTTGTTCAATACTTATTCTGCATCTGTTGACAAGAGCACATGGGTTTTTCTTTCACTCTATTATTATGATGTATATATTCATTGACCTTTTTTTCTCTTTTATTTTATTAAAAAAAATTTTTAAATTAAGGATCATTTATATATACTCTTATGAAGGTTTCACATATTCATTGACTTTTAAATATTGAACCTACCTTATACTCCTGGCATAAATCCCACTTGGTTATGGTGTATAATTATTTTTATATCCTGCTAAATTTGATTTGCTAATATTTTGTTGAAGATTTTTTGCTTCAATATTCATAAGAGATATTGGTCTGTAGTTTTCTTGTGATGTGTTTATCTGGTTTCCTAACTTTTGATCCTTGCTGTTCCTTTTAAACATTTATTTCATGGAGAAATGATTATATTTTTGAATTGTTCATTCAACTGTTTTTAATTGAATACATGTTCTGTGCCAGACACTATTTTAGGCACTGGGGATCCCTTTTACAAAAGACCAAGTCTTCTGCTCTTAGGGAGCTTATGTTTTAGTGGGATAAAACACTAAAAAGCTAAATAAGTTTTTAAAAATCTCAGAGTAATACCACATAGTAATAAATTATTCATGCCCACTTTAGAGGAGATATGCAGAGAAAGTTTTTCTGAAGATGTGTCATTTAATCCAACATATAACTAAGAAAGAGCCAGCCATGGATGGATGTGTGCGATGAGCCTTCCAGACAGAGTATACTGCTAATGTGGAGGCCACACAGTAAGAAGAAGCTCTGTGTATTTGAGAAGATGGCCGTTGTGGCTAGGATGGAGTCAGGGAGGAAGATATAAGACAAGGTGGGAGAAATACACAGAGTCCAGATATGAGGTGTTTTGAAGCTGGGGTAAAGAGGTTTTTATCTTACTCTAAAAAACCAAGAAAACTTTAGAAACTTTTAAGCAAGGAAGGAAGTGATGTGGTCTGATTTGAGTTTTAAAAGATCATTAACTACTGGCTAGAAAGAGGATTGTAGGGGTTGTGGAATGGTAGTAGGGAGGTTAGTTGACGAAGCTGGCAGTAGCCAGATGAGAGATGACAATGAATTAAACTAGACCATCAGTAAACATGGAGGAAAGTGGACAGACCTGGGATATATTTTGGAAGTAGAGTCAATAAGATTTTTTGCAGGCCGGGGGTCAGGGAAAGCAGTATAGGGATGACCCTCAGATGATTGACATGTACTGAGGGGAAAGAAACACAGAAGCAAATTTAGGTAGTAGGCCACGTAAGTTCTCTTTTGTCCGTGCTAAGCTTGAGGAGCCATTTGGATATACAAGGGGAGCTAATTTAGGAATTTGGTGTTCCAAGGAGAGGTTGAGACTGGAGATAAAGATAAAGATTTGAGAATCAATAACACATAGGTCTCACGATCCCTTTCCATCCACTCCTCCCTCCCTCTATGGACTCTCAGGCTTCCCCAGTGGACTTTCTCAAGTTATCTCCTTACAGTTTCACATGTTTGCCCATGTTGTCATTCCCTGGAACTTTCTCTGTTATGGAACCACCTACACCAAGGTTAAAACTTTTACCCCTGAACCTTTCAATTATTCCTTTTCATTTAAATATTAAAATATGCAGTTATCCAGGGGAACCAAAAGGGATGAGTAGGTTTGGGGAGGGAACTTTGGAAACAGGCATTTGCAAAGCTGGATCAGATATTGATCAGCCCAGAAATCATTGCTAAGTGGAGCCTGAGACGAAAGAGCAATGAGGAGTCAATATGGCACAAAGGAGAGTTTATATATACTGCTCTCCACCTTGGCATTTTCAGCTCCTCCAGTTCACAAGGATTTTGGGTACCTTTTGGGGGGCTCTAAGAGTTTGAGAGAGAAAGAAATATGTGACAAAGGAAGAATCATCCCAGGGAAACCAATAACTTGCTGTGATCATCACTTTGCAGAGTCAGAGTAGAAGTTTTGCAGACCTAGGACAGTGGTGATGGTGGCACAACAGTGTGAATGTACTTAATGCCACAGAGCTTACACTTCAAGATGATTAAAATAGTCAATTACGTTACTCATGTTTTACCACAATTGTAAAAATATTTTGCAGACCTAGACACCAGATCCCAAGGCTTGGAATGTTTCTGTCTAACCCTCAAGATACCTCTTTTACTGTTATCAAGGGATTTTAAGACACTTCATTGGTAATCAGAAGCTCTTATAGGAAGACTGGAAAGCAGCTGAAGACCTCTAAGGTGTTTTTACTCCCAAGTATGTATGTACGATGCCACAGTGGCTGGAACATTGACCAGGAGACTGAGTCTCTGTCCTCATCTGCAAAATGCTGTATAAATACTGCCAAGTTCTTGTTGTATAGGGGTTCCCCTTTTTGTCAGTATCCTGCAGGCCACCCACCATTTGTTGATCCACATGCCTGAGTGTAATCAGAGGATAGTTGAGAAAGGTATTGTCTCCTTGGGTTATTCATGGTGGGAGAGCCCAGTTGTTGTGTGTAAGACCCAAGGATGGGGAGAAGTCAGCCCAGCAATTGAAAGTGTACAATTGAACTTTGGAAGGTCAAATTGGAAGCTGCCTGAGCTACACAACTTTTATGATATGCCTTCGTTAAGTGGCAGGCCTTATTTTTGGATTTCTCAGAAGTTAATCTCATAAAGAGCCTCAAGGAGCTCTCTCACACCTGGTCCTCCGCCCTGGGCCCCTGTCTTCCTTTCCTACTTCTCCTAGCCAGTAAAACTCCCTTCCTGTCCTGTCCTGCCTATGTGCATGTATCTAGCATGAGGGAGGAGGATGGGTTATTAGGGGGCATGGGTTATTAGGACTACTTTAAGGTTGAGGGACAGTCAACCAAACCCAAACCTGAGTCCACTGATAGCTCAGACTTTATAAAGCACTAATCAGCCCTTCCAAGTGATGTGTCCCCCAGCCCTTCCTTTCATCTTACCCTGACATATTTGGACCTCCTGATGTTGTTTAGGCACCTTCCTCCATTCGGATTTTGAGGATCATTGGCTTTACCTTGGTCAGTTGCCACTTCCAACCTGCTGCCTGACATGACACAGGGTCCACATTGTGTCCCTGCCCCCCTGAGCCCTTAGGACAGGCACCTAACAGTATCAGCTTAATTCTGACATCCACCTTTACAGACAACACCATTAGGAGTCTGTTGCACTTTTAAAATACTTAAACCAAGTCACTGCATTCTCTTTGTGGCATAAAGAAAAGAGAGTGGCATCTTCTCATGGTGTTTGAGAGTCACAAAACGTGGTGGCAAGAAATGAGGGCGGCTCTGCAAAGGCCCCCGTGTGTGAACAGGCCTAGAAATGGGACCACGTGCAGAGCTAGGCATTCGCGCAGAGCCACGGGTATTGTTTGTTCTGGCCCGAAGCCTCGCAGCTATTCAGTATAAGCCAGCTCGATTCCTTCTCCGTGAGTTTGGGGCATCTATTAGCTTTGCTCCTAAAGTTTGATTTCAGCCTTTCTCAGAAGAACGGAACAGGGAAGGAGAGGAGAAGGAATGAAAGACAAAGAAACTAGAAAAAAGATTTGCATTGATTCTCAAAAAAATAATGAAAGCTGTTCCTGAGTGTATATATGCACGGTAACATGCAAACACCAAACACCTTGATCTGGCAGTTGTCTGGCATCCCGGATTACCTTCCAAACACACACACACACACACACACACACACACGCCAAACACACCAGGCAATTCAAAGCTCTGGTCTGGAAAATCTTTCCCCTGGGGCGTCAGTAGCTTGCCCTGTGATGACAGGCTTAATGGGTTTATATCTCTGCATTCCACTAAGACCACCTACCCAGGGGCCGCACCCTACTGACTAGTTACACTGGGCCTACACTGAGCGAAAGAGCACCAGCACAGTGCCAGCCTCAGAGGCAGGAGAGCTGTGCTCTGCTTCAGGCCACTCATGCTGAATTGCTGTGTGACAGTGTCCATGTTGTTAGCTCTCTCTGTAATTCAGTTTTGTAATTCCCAATTACAAAATGGGACTAATGGTTCTCATCTCCTAGAACTGTCACGAGACAGAGTAAATTACTGTGCTTATGCTTCTAGGAAGCAAAGACCTGGGGAAATCTTTCTCTGCCCCCTCTTTTTGTTATGATAGGGTTTCCTAGGCTCTCTTAGGCAAGCCCTTAAGAAATGTAATCAGAGAAGTCTGGAAAAAAGCAAACCTGCTCACAAAAGAAGAGAGTTTGAAGTCTCTCGAGTCTTTTCTTCCAGACATAAGTCCAAGAGATTGTCCCACCGTTTCTGGCCAGCAACCTGGAATAGGGCAGAGAGGTAATTTATGTATGTTTCTTCCAGCTTCCCTTTCTGGTCTGATCACTCTTTAAGTGACACTGGTTGGGGTGGGGCCACAGGCTATGGGAAAAAACAAAGTCCTGGCTGCTCAAGTCTGCCTATCAAATAATACGTCAGTCAGCCTGCCTTGTCAGCGGGTAAAAAAAATAAAAAGCAACCTTTTTATTGATTTGTGTTTGATTGTTTGCTTAAAGGAAACCATGATATATGATAGCAAATCAGCCCAGCTGATTTAGTGCCCTCCAATGGTCTGCTCATCCATGGTAAAATGCATCAGAAAGGAAACACCTAGGTTTCCCAGTCCTCGGCCTGTGCAGTTCTACAGTACAGAGTGCCCAAGAACTAACTGTAGGCTTCTTGTCCTTACAATAGATTCTCAGGGTCTCAGTTGCCATATTAGTGTCTTATTGTCACTGTAAAAAATTACCACAAACTTGAAACAACAGAAATGCATTTTCTTACATTGCTGGAGGTCAAAAATCTTACGAGGCTAAAATCAAAGGCTCTGTTCCTCCAGGAACCTCCAGGAGAGCATCCGACTCCCTGCCTTGCCCAGCTTCTGGAGGCACCCGCATTCTCGGCTCGCAGGCCCTTCATCACTCCAGCCTTCATTTGTGTCGTCACATTCCTAACTCTGACCTCCTGCAGTCCTTGAACTAGGACCCTTGTAGTCAAATTGGACCCCAGCCCTCTCCTTTCTTGGGCTTCTAAGGACTTCTCAGGAATCAGAGTTCCAGTCATTGTCTGGGCTGGGAGCCAGTGGGGAAGCACATGGATTAATGTCTTTGGAACCTCCCTGAGGACGGGAGGCAGCCCCACATTAAACGCCTTCACTGGTGTTGATGACCATTGAAAGAACTAAGAGTCCAGGAATAAAAAAAAAAGAGGGACCTAATACATCTGGTTATAAGAAACTCGGTTAATAAGGGTGAAAGCCCACAACTGGGGGACATAAAAGCAGCCTAGTTGACAACATTCTCCACCCCAAATTTCAGAATCACTTCACCAAAGAACCACCATGCTTTCTCTCCTTTAATGCCTTTATTTTTAGTTTGGGTTATTTTTTATTGTTTGAAGGTTGCCTTGCAACCCATTTGCCTGGAGGGTTTAAACAATATAGGGTTTCTTTACTGAGCAGCAACAGTAGCCAAGAGAGATGGAATATAAACTTTTAAGTCTATTTTCTCAGAGTTGATACATCAGCAATGGCTTTAAACAGAATGGCTCATGCCCCCTGGCTTGCCTTTCCCTGGGGGAGGGGGAAGGGTGGCTGGTGGAGAACATTATGTGTTCTCTTATCTTTCATGCTAGTAGAAGGGGATAAGCACCAGAATAGGAAAACAAAATATCTGGCTATTAATATACCCTAAGTCCTCTAGCACATGGATTGGATTTGTTTATTTGTGAAAGAGAAGGATGCTTCTCTCTGACCGTGGGCTCCCCTGCCAGCTGGAGGGGAACTGTCAGGCATAGCGCCTTCCATAAGGTGAAGGGGGTAGGGGACCAGGGCCTGACTTCCTATATAAAAGAGAAAATCCTCAGACTTTTCTCAAGAAAAGTTGCTTTTCTGGCTGAACCTGCCTCAAGCCCTAGCAGCGTCATTCAGAGAAACAAGAAATTAAAGGGAGAAAATGCAGGAGGATTTACTACGAAGAGCTGGAGAGTGCCCCCACCTCCCCACCAGACCTACGCACCCATCACCCTCCCTGGGCCCAATCCTGGGAACCAGAGGACTGGAGAACTTGCCAGCAGTTCCTGAGGACAGCCACATAGTTGGCAGGCAGAAACAGGAGCGTTTCCCTCCCCAGAGGACAAGCCCTGCAAAGAGGAAGGCAGCCCTGCCAGCTCAGACTCAGGGCTGCTGTCCTTTTGATTTGTTCCCTTGGACCCCTTGGTGGCTTGGTGGAGTAGATAGAGTTTTCCAGAGGGGCAGATGGTTAGTTAATGATAAGCCTTCTAGATGGGAAAAAGTTGGAAGGAGAATGATTTCTTTGGGGCCAGGAGCATGCACACTCCAGGGAGCCCGCTCCTGCAGTGTCTTGAACAAAGTTCAGAATGCCCTTCGACTGCCTGAAGAGGTCTCTGCTTGCCACCCACCAGGGTCAAAACTTCTCAAGCCCCCAAGAACATTCTGATTAGCCAGGCTTCCCAGGTTTACACTGAGAGGGGAGAGCAGCATCGGCACGGCCCGCCCTCTCCAGGAGCAAACAGGGACAAAGGTCGGTGTACTTACGGCGGCCCGCCTTCCTGCCAGGCCGGATGCCCCAGTGTTGTCCCAGCGTTGTCCCAGGTTGTCCCAGCGTTGCTACATGATGCGGGAATCTGTCATCTCTGTGCCTGCTGGGTCACCCATTACCCCAGATCCAATTCCTGGGCAGGGAAGGAAGCTTAGCGGACCTGAGCAGAGGCAAAGGCTTTGGCATTCATTTTAAAAAAGAAATGCTGTCGTGTCTTTACCTGTTCAGCTGGGAGCCAAACATGTTTGTTATGCATGTGATGACACCACTGTGGAAGTATGTGTGAGAGGAAAGAATTTTTAAGTTAGCTCCCCTGCCTGTCTGGAAAAGAGGGGCTCTCTGTGCAAACCATGGCTCTTCAGACATGCTTAGAATTTGAATAAACTTTCTTTGTGGTGATTTCTTATACTCCTTTTCACTGCCACCCCAGCATGATTGAGTTTGTCTCTGTTCCAGCAGGTCTAAATATCCGTTGTGATTCTCCATGAGAATTTAATCAAGTTGGAGACCACTGCGGTTGCCAGGTCTGGCACCCATTTGGCGTGAGATCAAGCAGGAGAAGTGAGCTTGGTGCATTCTGAAATCGCTGAGGCTATAGCCCACATCCCTTCTTGTTTGGGTTTAGAATTAGGAGCCATGTTGTTTATCTGTTTTCCTCCTTTGTACGGAATGGTCTTCAGCCAATGAAACGATGATGATAGAGTAGCTACCATTCATCACAGTACTGTCCTAAGCCCTCGACTTGAATTACTTAATTTCCACCTCAAACCATGATGTACACATGACATGATCCCTATTACAGGTGAGGGCTAGAGAAGTTGAGTAATACACTCAAGGTGATCTGCTAGGTTCACCTGTGGTCTGACCTGCTAGTACCCTGTTCTAAACGTGAGGAAAGACAGACCGTGAAGACTCGTGTTTCTACAGCTGTGCAGATTTCTTAGTAGCGATGGCTCTCCGATTTACATTCCTAGGGGCCATCGGAGGAAGCTGTTTGGCCTCTGAGGTGATGGATGAGGCTGGGTCTCGCTTATGTCTGCAGAGCACGGGTAGAAGGGTAGGTCAGGACAACAACTCCTCTGGCCCCATCAGGGACTCTGCAGGCCAACTTCTGGGGCTGTGTTTATATCATTACTTCTGAGGCCTCAGCATGGAAGCTCTAAGCCTTCTCTTCCTTTAGCCATCCTCCACGTGGAAAGAAGCCAAATGGGAGAATTTCCCTAACATTTCCCCTAGGTGCAGCTGGTACCAACTTAAAACCCAAGACATGTAACAGTGCAGCCCAACTGAAGCCTGGCTAAGCCCTATTTCTTTAGACACAGTGAGAAGCCATTCTGTGCTCTAGTATCGAGAACCATCTCAGGGACCAGGGGACTCTGATTCCTTGGTTTGACCCCAAGGGATCAGATTGCTGAGGAAGCCTGTCAGTAGTAATTCTGTAGCCTGGACTGTCAACAGCTGCTCTCTGGAGGAAAGGGAAGAGGATGCCCAGGATTTGGATATTTAATTTTGGGGTCTCTGTGCAAAGTAGTGTCTTTGGCAAGGGAGGATGGTAGAGGAGTTCCTGCAGCATTGAAAGAAGGTCCCCTTTGTTGCTCCAAGAGAGGAATGTCCATCAATGCCTCGCCCACCCCAAGTAGGATTCCTCCAGCTGCCTTTGCCATGTGTTATCCTGCATCTTGGCCCCTGGAAACCTACTATGGACAGGCAGTGTTGGTAGTGAACCCGAGGCTCTCCTGGCCACCCCCATAGGTCCCAGGACCTCCATCTCTGTCACATTGCCTGCACACAGCCACTTTGCCCCACTGTACCTGTCTGAATTACCCTCGCTGGCAAAAGGCACAACACTCCCCTCTCAGTGTCCTGATAGCCTCTGGTTAATAAGCAGCTCACATAAAGACACCAAGAACTGTGGCAAGAGGGGGAGAAAGGCTGAGCTTTCTGAATACAGGCCAGGGAGCCTGGACTTGGCCCAGAAACACGCTGGCTGTTCCTATTCTCTGCCCTTTGGAAGGCTCCCTCCCGGGTTTTAGAGGGAAAGAAGCCGGAATGCTTCCTGCAAAGCGGAGATGGTGTGGCAACGAAGTGTTTGTTAATCAGCAAAGTCTGAGGGCCCTTCCTGGAGGACATTAGTCCTCTCCAGAAGAGACCAAATGTATGCCCTTTATTCTTTCAAACCAATTTCTAGAAGAGCCTCAGGCCCCTGTATGATCAAAGCACTGTCTCCCCACTTCCCTCTCTCTCCTCTCTCTAGGAGCTGCCCAGATAGGCCCCTTCCAACCTGCCCCACCCCCTCATCTCCTGTCCTGCTTTATCCTTTAGGGTTTGGATGTTCTTGAGATGCCCCTGTGGAAGGAACCAGTGGGGAGTGTTCGCCAGACCCCCCCACCCCTTTGTCTCTTTGGTCTGGATCCAACCCCACACGGCAAACTGTCACCCTCTCCTCTCCCTGGGCCGGCCCATTGTCAAGGTCCTGGTCACCTTTAAAGCCTTCTGCAGGGATCCCCATTGCCAACAGAACCTTTTCTGAAGCCCAGCATGGTGACATTTTAGACTTGGAAATCCCTAGACAAATATGTCTCACTTAATCCTCACCAAGCTGGCCCCCAGCGGCAGGCAACTCTCACTTGTCCGAAGTTATCAAGTACCACTAGTCCCTACAGCCAACGTTCCCTTTGTTCTAGGCATTGTTCCCAGCTGGAAATACAGGATAAACAAGGTAAGGTCCCTGTCCTTGAGGAGCAACCAGACTATCAGAAGGGACAACATAAAACTGGCTCCTCTAGTCCAAAATGCCTCCACCCAAATTCCTGTCTTTTGGCTTAATTGCATACTCCATGCCTCAGGTTATTCATATGTAAATGAAGTTATTAATAGCATCTACCTCGTAGAGACCTGGTGAGACTTAAATAAAACCACTTATTTGGAAGGTACACAGGGCTGAATAAATGCTGGCTGTTACTGTTTTCTTCATGGATAACATTTGTCGGAGGTAGTAAAATCTGGCTGAGCTGGGGTGCTAACAGGTGTATGCACCTAGGCAAGACCACTGTTCTCTCTGCACATCCGCTTCATGGGTGATAATTACTTAATTACAGTAAATTGGTTGATAGATGTGAAAGTACCTAACACAAGCACGTCAGCCTCTTGGAACTTTTAAAGATCTGAAGACCCTAGGACTCCAGGAAGCCAGAAGGGACTCGGAAAGATGCGTTGGCATCTTTCAGGAACCGTCCCCCGTCTCCCTAGTTAATCCTTAAAGCTTGACCCCCCCCCTGTTTGGCTCTCGTTCTCCCAGAGCGGCGTGCTCCGTGATCAACTGTTCCCGCCCTCTGTGCTCTGCGCTTCTGTACTAAGTACCTGGGGGCCCTTGTCCTGTCCACACTCAGGCGTCACTCAGCCTGAGATACCCATTCAGCTCCTCTAATCTCTCCCCACAACTCAAACTCCCCCTCTCCTCACTCCCCACTTCATCCCTTGTTCCTCTAGCTCCTTAATCAAATTAAGGGAAAGAAGAGGATTTAGATAGGGTTACTAAATATATTTCTGTTCAGGGGAGGGAGAAAAGAGAAAAGTTTGGAGGAGGAGGCCGAGTGTGAAATTCCTTAATGGAATGTGCTCTGAGAGCCTCCTTTCTCTAGAATAAGCCCGGAATCACCTATCTGGATAGAGTTCTCCCTCTGGCAGAGTGCTTTCACAAACATTATCTCGTCACGATACAGGCCCGCGGGGCAGAGTGCCCACTGCCTGGAAAGGTCTGCTGAGGCCATCATGCCTCACAGCTGGCCTGACCCTGGTCTATATAATTCACAGGACACTCTGGCCCCACAAGGGTGACTCGGCTTTCTGCGGAGCATGACACCAATTGAGGGGCCGCTCACAGCTGGAGGTCACAGTTTTCCCTTCTCTGTTCTTCCTCCCCCAGATTCCTAATCTTTTGAAAATGTATATTTTTTAAAAACAAAGTGCTTACAGTAGAAACCTTTGAAAATACATTAGTATACAAAGAAGAAAACAAAAATCACTCATAGTCCGCAACTTAATTACTGGTAAGATTCTGAGGCAGCGCCTCTGGGTGTCTTTGGAATGCACGCAGGTCTTTGTATATGCGTGTGCTTTGGCGAAGGTGGGATCCTGGGCACATTCACTGTGCTCTGCTTTTATGTTTAATATGTTGTTTTGTGCTCCGTTTCATCAAGAATTCTTCTGAAATATTTTTAAATAGCACAAATTAAGATTTTTTTTTCCTTTCTAAAAAGATGATACACATCCATTTTGAAATAATCATTGCTCACCTTGATTGAGTCTTAAAATAAGCCAGGACCCAGCTAAACAGTTTACATACATTAGCACATTTAATTTTCACACCAGCCCTTCAAGGTAGATTCAGGTAAACTCATTTTACAGATAAAGGATGGAGTTGGTGAAGGAACCTATCCTTCTAGCAAAGACTTAAAATGCCCACAGGGGCATTAAAATGTCAAAGACCTAAGATGCACTGTTTGATCAAATAGCCTATATCACAGCCATATTTAATGACTGCATAATGTTCTCTAATACATGTTTATCATGATTAACCATTCTCTTTTGTTATGCATTTAAACAGTTTCCTTTTTTTAAATTATTTTTGCTTTTATAATGAAGCAGTAGTGATCTTTGCATAAAAATCACCTTTGTTCAGACCTCTGGTTATTTCTTTAGAATCATTTCCTAGAAGTCAAATTGCTGGGTCATCACTTTTCAAGTCTTGTTACTTATTACCAAGTGACATTCCAGAAAGCCACTATATTCTCCCACCAGCATGTGTAGGAGGAGATCCTCCCTAAGAACAATTCTGTTTGGTCGTGGAAATTGTATCTCTTAGATTTAATTTACATTACCTTGATTACTATCAAGGGAGAACTTTTCTTTCCTGTGTTTATTAGTCAGCTGTAGATCCTTGAGTCATTGTGGCAGAGAACAACTCATTGTTCCTGCAGGCACTTCCTCTCACTTGCTCTATTGATTATGAATCTCAATTTGGACCCAGGTTTGGGGGTGCATCAGCGAGGAACAATTGTTTCATAGCCAACATATCCAGTAGAACTTTGGTCTTCATGAAGATTTGTGTCCCCATTTTGTCCCCTCCCACCCCCAGCCACTGTGTAGCTCCCTCATAATTGCCCCACCTCAGAGAAAAGGTCAGAGTTCAGATTTTGGACAAACTGAAGCTCAGCCTGCAATTTCAGACCCATCTGGAGATGTATAGTACGGTTTTGTTCAGGAAGTAACTGAGCTGGAGCCGGAGGGGCCCAGGCATTTCACT